AAAACAGCTATTCATGAGGTTTTGGTTTTGGTTTTGTTTTTTTTTTCCAGTGGAGTCCTCTAGGGATCATTTTTAACCCTAGCTGATACTTTAGTAGTGACCTGGAAGTATGTGTAAAATTATCACTACACTAGGGTGCAGAGGTCATGAGGACAGAATCTCTCACTAAATTAAGCACTGGCCAACAATAAGCATTTCAGTACAGAAGCTGGAGACTTTTCCTGGGAAACAATGTCTCAGAAAGGGATTTTTATTTTTGTAAGGGGCAGCTACTTGAAAAAGAAAATCAGTGTCCACGGAAGGCCTGTAGCCAAAAGGCCTACGTGACTTTTAAGCCTTTCTGTTTGCTGTACTTACAGTGCTATTGGGAAGTTGAGTGCTGCTCTATTGTCAAGTCAAGAGAAAAAGCTGAAATATTGATAGGGTTCCATTAAGCCTTCCTTATAGTGCTATATCGAAGTAGTTCTTTTGAAATAGCTCATCAGAAAATATATATATATATTTTTTTTTTAAAAAAAAAGATGATCTGGCATCAAAATCTATGGCTATCTAAATAAGTAAAGTAAGAGCTTTCTATTTCTTAATATAATGGATAAAGTATTAGAAAATAAAATTAGAAACTGAAACTGTACAAAATGTTGATACTTTTTACAAGATCTATAGGGAAAAACTCACCATTTCTGAAAACTGGTACACCAGGATTCAGTTTTTTTTTAAAATAATCACTATTTTTTTTTAAGTCCTGTCATGTATGTTTTCTTGGAGAACTTTCAGAAAATCCCACCAATTAGCTTCCTTTTAGCTGTGCTTCTGTATTGAAAGTTATTTCTTATGTGTCTAACTTGAGAGAAAAAAAAGCTAGCATGAGTAGAGGAATTTACAGTTTACTTAGTTGTTTATGTTCCTCTTTTCACAGTACTTCAAACTGCAAAAGGTTGAAGTAAGATCATGGTATTTAATGGAAGCAGTCGTCAAAGGCATGATTGATGGTATCATTAAACTGCATATTATTTCATAAACACCTTCATAAATCAATGTTATTTGTGTAGTGGGATGAAATTGAAAAATACCATCACAATGACTTACTGTCAGTCAGGGTGTATTTATTGGCTAGCCCAGCAGTTACATTCACCCAAGTGGCTACATTTGAAACATTTAATAGGAATAAAGTTTGACTCAATGATGTATGGTTGGACTTAATGATCTTAAAGGTCTTTTCGTACTTAAATGATTCTGTGATTCTGTGTTGACCTGTTTGCTTCGTAATGGAAAAGGCATTTAAGGTAATTTGAAAAAATACCTGTAGAAAATTGGGATTCATAAGCTTGCATGATATACTGATATTATTGAAGAGAAATAGAGTTTGTCCTTAACGGCTGTTTTCTCCCATGTTTAGTGTGTGTCTTGTTTGTTGGGTTTTTTTCTTAAGAAAAGGACTGGTTTGCTTTCTTCAGTTTTGATGAGGCTTCTTAAGAGTGTTTGTAAATATAATAAGAATACTTGTTGCGTTTTGTTTTTTTCCTGTAAGAATGTAAAATGAATTCAGAGGTTATCCAGTTTGATTCCACCTTTTATATAAAAAAGGAAAGAATGGGTTAATTCCTGACTTTCTCAAATGTCTAAGGTCTAATATGTGAAACTGAATACCCTTTGTATTTGTTGAGGTATTACAAATAGATAGGAAAACTTCTGCTGTTACTGAAATAATTTATTACTACTTCATTATTAAGTGTCTTTTGGTTAAGGTTTCTTGGAATTATTAAGAGTAATTATCCTGCATTAAGTTTTCTTTTGTAAGCTGCCAATCAGAGTAAGCTTATTCTTTAGCAGCAAGTACCTGCTACATCCACTGAGTATTGAAAACAAAATGCTCTTCAAAATTGAGCTGTTTTGTACTTGATACTGTAGAAATGCATTTTCACATTAAACTCAAATGTCATGAAAAGCGTTGAAAGCTTTTCTTCATATTTTGTGATTAAAGATTCTTATTATGATGATGCCGTTGACAGAAACATTTGAGATTTATCAGGTTCTCAGTCTGTTTAATGCATTTTATGAATGACATTTCAAATTAATTAGTGATGTACGCTATGTGAAGCCAAAGGCTTTACAGAAGTTTTGTTTACAATTAAGAAAATATTTTTCTCAAGCAAACTGGTGGTGATATGAGTAGTTGGTAAGACCTGCATGTTGTTGATATTGATTGTGGGCATTATAATACAGCATGTCTCTATAAAGCTACTGCTATTGATTTGACTTCTATAGTAGCTATTCCTGTTTTATGTTAAGGTTTCTACTGGATTAAATGGACAATAGTTACTTGGCTGTTCTTTGTGAAATTCACACTGGTCCAGCCTTGCTAAAGGTGCTTCCAGCGTTGGGTTAACAATGCATATGGACCAGCTGTCAGACTTTCCCCATCTAAAATTAGGAGAAAGTGAAATGCAATTATTTTTTTGTTCTAAATAGTAAAGAAATGATTGTCTGTATCTGTATCTCGCAGAATGAGGCATAGGAGAATTTTTCCTTTTTGTTTTTAATCGCCAAAACCTGGAGGCATCTGAGAGCTGGCTTCATTTAGAGTCTTTCTGGATTGGCATAATGTTGAGCATGCATTAAATTGTGCATACTGATTTAACAATCAGAAAAGCTTATCATACTCTAGCTCCATCTTTCCTGCCTGCTCTGCCAGGAAGCTATGAGAAGCCATAGTACAGCTGGCTATTCTGGCTTCGAGCCACGTAGGGATTTGCCTACATGACAGGAATCCCCAGCTTCCCCTCGGAAAGAACACTTTCCAAGGCAGAAGTGCTAAAATAAAAGGCAGGATCTGATTCAACCATAAACTTTAACCACCTTTTTCTCCAACGTGAGAAATTTTTATACTCATGCTATACTTATTTCCATACTCACGCTATGTGCCAGAGGAGTATTTTGTAGGGAAAGAAGCAATAAATGCAGTTTGAATAGAAAAACAAGTTTATGCTTTTTTTTTGCGAAGTGTATATGTGTCTTTTATTGGAGATCCAAATTAGCAGAGTTCTAGCTGGAAAGGTACAGGTTCTAGAGAACACCCCTATGGAGAAGAGAGGAAGGAATAACAATAATTTCAGTAGATCAGTTTAGTGACCCATCTGATGATGTCAGCCACAAACTGTTTGTGTGCCAGTGCTGGGTAAGCGTTGGCATGCAACAGCAAATGCATCACAGAACTGGACTCTGACACACTGGCAGAGAATGAATTGACCTGTTAAATTTCAATCATGAAGGTAGATCCTACTCCTAGCGTAACAGCAAACGTGCTCTGAGGTTACTTTGCTGTGAATCTCTCTCCAAGCAGAATTAGCATGGTATTAAGGAATCTGTTTGAAATTGCACAGAGAAATTTACAGTGAGAGAGAGCAAAAGGGAGTAATTTTCTTTTAAATTGAGGCAGTGCTTCATAAAAGAATTATATTCTTTTTTATATGTATCACTTAAAGTGTTGTTAAAATTGAATGACACTGTGTGTTATTTGCATTACTGTAAATTTCTTTGGTAATAAAGTGATTCATCTTGCTACACAGTGACTCCCATACAGATGCAAGAAACATTCTTTTTTGGCAACAGGAATAATTATGTGCTAGGTTCCATAATTACTGACAGCACATCACAGCTTAAGAAATTGATCGTTAAAGCCATGCAGAACAATTACGAAATACATCTTTTTATATATTATTCTATATTACCCATTGCTTTGTCTAACTCCTGTAGATTTTGGTCGAATAAGTGTGTCCATTTAGGAAGAGCTACAAAGAATATTTCTCAGAAAGACCAGGCTGAATGGGGCTTGGCCAACCTGCTCTAGTAGGAGATGTCCTTGCCCACGGAAGGGGGGTTGGAACTCGATGATCTTTAAGGTCCTTTTCAACCCAAACTATTCTATGATTCTGTGAAATCTTGCAAGTAGCGTAGCAGACACGTTAGGTAGCATTTCTGTATTCTGAGCACGGCATCCTTGGAGCTATAGCCCAGTGCTCCTGCCTGCTCTGCAGTTCATTTCAGAATTATTAAGCAGCAGAGTCCTTTCTGCTCGCACCTATTTAAAGACCTGTGGCACCTTCTGAGGCAGCAGAAGCTTAGCTCTATCTGCTTCAACCTCCTATTAAATTAATACTTAATTGATCGGACCAAGAAGAGTTATGCAGTGCCACAGATCTGAGAGAACTGTCCTTGGTCAACTAATGAAGTTCTGTGTTTTTTGACAGAGCAACACTTGCAGTGAAGCAAAGCGTGTTCTGTGAGCTCCGGAAAGTTTTTAAATGAAAGACCCTTTTAAACCTTAGCTATTATACTTAAGTTTGGAGAGTATCCTGCCAATCAAAGTACCTTCTTTGCGGACTCATGTGTTGAGATTCAGATAAGAGACTTGCTGAGTGTGATGTCCTTCCTCGAGTGGCATTTTGATGGGGAAAGTTCCTTGGAATTTCATGGCACTCCACACAACAGAAATGTTTAGATCACTTCTTTCTTTCTGGCAGAGAGAGAGGTAATATACATCACTAAGAGTCTAAGATTTATAAGAACATGCTGCAGAGTAAATTGTGCTGTCAGGCAGAGAAATTGCGTGGTAAAACAGACTCTCTACACTAATCTTCTGAGGATCTTTGACACTGTGTGCAGCAATCGCAGATCTGCTGATCCTGTACAGACAGGAGGCTTTAGGATTCTTTATAGCAAACCCCATGTAGTCAATTTTCCTTGGCATTGAAACCGGAGCTATTTCGTGTTTTGGGGTTTTTTTTGTTTTTTTTTTTCCTCTGCCTTATATTTTTGCTAGAGGTAAATATTAATGGATATTTGTAATCTTCATTTATGTGAATATCCTTGATCATAACAATTTCCCAGATATTTTGGGGACTATGTTTTGTTTTTGTTTTTTTTTTCTTCTGTGATGTGTTTCCGTCTAGTTCACTTGGACAGGAAGGGCAGCAGTCTCTCAGAGGTCACATATTGTTGTTGATGGAACAACTTGAGGCATTTGAACAGGAGAGTAGCCAAAATTTCTGGCATTAACTTCTGAATGCATCTACTGGGTCTGGCTGGGATGGAGTTAGTTTTCTTCAGATCGTCCTGTGAGTGAGTGATTGCACTGAATCATTGTTTTGTTTTGGTTTGTTTTCCTTCTTTCCGTCATTTATTAAACATTAAACTATCTTTACCTCAACTGGTGAGTTTTCTCACTCATGCTCTTCCCATTCTCTCTCCCCGTCCCACTGTGGGGGGGTCAGCAAGCACAAAAATCTGACTTTTTGGTAAACATCAAATTTAGGATATTGTGAATTTATATTGTGAAATGTTGATGAAAGGGTAGGTGAAGAATTCCTGGATTTTGTTCCCAACTCTTTATTCCTCTTTGAACTTTAAATATTTTAAAAGTTTTTGTTTAGTTGGAGAGCTGCTTGTTAAGTGGATGAATCACCTTGCGTTGTCATAATTAGCTGTGTGTCTTTGTCGTTGCCTTATATGGCAGAGCTTATGTTCTTTTCCTTTTGGCTTTTTCAGGTATGAATACGAGCAAGAGTGAGACAGTGAAAGAGTATCCGTTAAAACCCTCTAGAAGATCTATGCCATGCCTAGCCCAGAGCCAAACACATCCTCAGAGTCTGAGCAAGCATTCGTCTTTCCTGCAGCCGAATCGTGTGCAGCCCCAGCCCCAGCCTCTAAGTGCAGGGACATCTACAGCTACGGTGGATGTCGTGTCAGAACGAGGTAGGAGGTTTTTCCCTTCCAGGAGCTTGCTCCAACACTGGGAATGAAAGGGATCTGTGGGAACATCATTTGAAGTCCTGTCGTGTCTTAGATACAAATTTTTAACATCTTTCATTAAATAATAGGGGCATCTGATAAGCTTTGCTTTGTTTAGATGTCTACGATTTATTGGAGAGAAGTTTTTGCACAAAACAACTAGAAGAGCTAAGATGCTGAGTTCTTGAGTCAATCTCTGTAATGTTTGAAGTGAGACTTAAAGTAATTTTTCTTTTATTTTTCTGAATTACCAGATTATTTCCCTCTCACTGCAAACAAGACAAGAAAGTGCTCCTGTATGCTGGGGGAGAGCATGAAGTTTTCTGTAGTTTGTCTTAAGAGAGAGAGAGAAAAAAAAAATACTAGGCATTCAGCAAGAAGTGTCTTTAAGCATGGACATGTAGGAGTAGATGTGTTCATTCATGAACAGCAGAATCAGGGTAAAGCAGTATGGAGAGAATCAGAAAAAAGGGAGAACATCCCTATGAATTTTGGCTTGTGTTGGAAGAAAGAATACTTTTATGTTAGGATTTCTATTTTAACAGACAAACATGCCTTATCAAAGACAAGACTTGTTGGAGATCCCAGTCACGGTGTGTGCCACCTGTTGCCAGTTATTGCCAACTGTGTGTGAACCTTTATAGAATAAATTAAATTGGCTGGCTTCTGCTACTGAATTTTGATAAGTTCTTCCTTAATGTTGATAGGAATTAATTATTACTCTTATTTAATGGACTTGTACTTCTCTCAGAAATAGAGTGAAAAGTCTTCACTAAAGCGATCTTGTTCTTTTTTCCATCCATGGAAAATGCTCTTCAAAATTTTAGCCTAAAGTTTTTCATTTGAGTCACTGACAGCTTTTAAAAAATGTGTCCTTCACTCACAAAATACATGTGAATGCTGATATGGATATTGCATTTATTCCAGCTAAAGTGGTGGAGACTTTGGAAAACAACTTGCTTAAGCTGTCTAATACAGAATACAGCGATTCATTTTTAGGTAAGTTTGTCTGAACTGAAATAATAGTAAATTAATGATTCTTCTATTACACTTGAACTGCCAGGTTCTTTGAAAGAGGAGACTAAATGTCACTAAAGAAATATGCACTATTGTAAATTTCATGATACTTTCTCACCTCTTAGACTAACAGTAAATAGGGACTAACGACAGAGAGGTGTTTTTTTCATATATTCAGTGTAACTTTTCCCCTTAACAATCTTTTGTAATGCAATCACTTGGAAGGATGTATTCAAAATTCCTTTGAAATAGTTGTTATTATTATTAAGTTGTTATTCCAGTATGGTCATGTTATTCAGTATTGTCATGGCTGCAGTTGTTATTTAGTTGGTTTTGTTTTAGATATTCATGTATATTTGCTTTAGGCATTCAAGTATAAAAAGTGTTCCAATTTGGCAAAAAAAGCAGTAATTGAGGCATATTTGTACCTGCATTCATGCCATTTTGATAATTTAATTAGGTCCAAGAAAGTAGGAAAAGAGCTCTTAGAATAATCCTATCCTTGTGACTGTAAAATGAGCCTGTGTATACACACATGTAGTAATTTGCGAGTTCCAAAATTAATTACTTTTGAAATTCCCCTGCCATGTGTTACTCATCTAGGATTGCTGCACCTTGCACAACTACTGTGAAAGATCTTTTTGCTCACGGTCAATGTATTATCAGACTAGAAATTGCATCTTCATGCTAAAAGAGAGAGATCTGCTTTCAGAAAGCTATTTCTGCTCTCCTCTCACATTTTACCATTGATTTTTCTCGATGCTCAAAATACGTGATGGGTACGAGGCTCTTCAAGGTCTCCCAATCAGGTAGCTACTGGAAATATGAGTGAAATTGATACTTCCTCCAAAGCAAAATCAAAACGTTCCAAAGTCATGACACAGACCAGAAATTTGGCATGAAGTTTTTATAAGCAAACCATGTTTCTCATTAAGGTTCCAGTAGAAGCTACTGCATTCTATTAATGTAATTGGTTTCATTGGGTAGGCAAGCCACAGGTACTAGAAGATTTCACTGTTATAACTTGCTTCTTTTTTTTTTTTTTAATATCCTGTTCTATTTTTTACTAATTGCTAACACATATACATGCTGATATTATTGCATATTTAAGTATGGCAGCAGGAATTCTTTCTTATAGTAAGTGATGTGCTGTTTTTCAACCACGTCACCTAGTTTTAACCTGAAAAGAAACATGGGGAGCTCAGAGATTGAGACGATCGATTAAGTCTCATCAGCTCAAAATTGTATTAAATTTTGGTGTGGATGTTTCTTCTCTTTTGACAACAGTGATGCTCTTTGAAGAGACAGAAAAATATTTAAATGATAGCCCTGATGATTTGTTAATTTGCTCTTGTTGAGTTAATCCCAAATTAGATCACTGAAAACGGTAAAGTTTTTCTGTATTTACAGAAGTTTAATTGGTTAGGTTGTTCAGCTATAAGCAAGAAAGGAAACAGTATTTATAAATCTCAAAAGTCATTAGTAAGAGTTGCCTCAGCTAAATTATCAGCATTATCTGTTAGGTTCATGAAGAGAAATCAGGGACAGTTAAAGCTATAATTAAAAAATGGCCTTTCATGAAGCCTTCAAAATAATGTTTGTTTGCACTTGAGGACTGCATTTATGTGGGTAAGAATTTGTCTCCAAGACTAAAATTGTTGATTTTGTCCTGGATCTGGGGAGCAAGAAAAAAAAAAGGGGAGGTGGGGAAGAAAAAAAGGAATGTCGCTGCTTCAACTTTGATCACCAGATAGGTGAAAATGATGCAGCACTGCTGCGTGCTTTAATCAGTACTCTGGCACTTTGATGGAGTTTGCAAAATAGACTGATTAATGGGTATCATCTCCTTCGTGAACCTTTTCAAACTGCTCTCCTGAGAATGTGAAAGAATGCTGAATTAAGTGAATGTGGTGAATTTTTAATTAGGCAGCATCACGGAACTGTACTTAAAATAGGGCAAATGGCTTTTTCCTCTTCCAGAATTGCGTCCATAGACAAACTATCTTCTTGTGAGAAGGGGATTAACAGGAATCAGATAAAAGATTTCATAGGAAAGGTTCTTATTTATTGCAGTTGACTATAAATCAAGAGGCCATAGATCTGTTGGACTTGTTTAGTTAGTGACACTGATGGATTTATAAAATAAGATGATAATGTATTACACCTTTGTTGCTACTAACACAGACAAACTGGATGAAGGACATCATGGATTTATGTTCTTTTTCCTGTCAGTTTTAGGTGGTAAGTAGTGTTTTAAGTTTCAGGAATCAGTAAATTCAAGCAAAATAATAGACATTGGGCTTCTGTAACTTACGATGTGAACTGTGAGGTTTGAGATGCACTGGAGTGCTCAGGGCTTAGCTAAAGCTTCATGGAAACCACCCGATGAGGGTTATAATCAGGGCTTTTGGATCTTACCTAGGTGGAAATTACCTATTGATTGGATCTGAACATTAACTAAAGCCTTTGTTTCTCAAAGCGTGGTTGTAGAATTTGGTGTTCAGTCCAGAGCAAAGTCATATTATTGCTTCTACTTCCATGAAAAATCTTTTTCTTTACCTGTGTGTTTGCGTTACAGAAGAGTAGAAAGTTCTGGTTTAAGTGATCTTTGTCAGTTGTTGTGACTTGAGTTCACAAAAGATAAAACTAAGATCTTAGTAAGAGTTGCCTCAGCTAAATTATCAGCATTATCTGTTAGGTTCATGAAGAGAAATCAGGGACAGTTAAAGCTATAATTAAAAAATGGCCTTTCATGAAGCCTTCAAAATAATGTTTGTTTGCACTTGAGGACTGCATTTATGTGGGTAAGAATTTGTCTCCAAGACTAAAATTGTTGATTTTGTCCTGGATCTGGGGAGCAAGAAAAAAAAAAGGGGAGGTGGGGAAGAAAAAAAGGAATGTCGCTGCTTCAACTTTGATCACCAGATAGGTGAAAATGATGCAGCACTGCTGCGTGCTTTAATCAGTACTCTGGCACTTTGATGGAGTTTGCAAAATAGACTGATTAATGGGTATCATCTCCTTCGTGAACCTTTTCAAACTGCTCTCCTGAGAATGTGAAAGAATGCTGAATTAAGTGAATGTGGTGAATTTTTAATTAGGCAGCATCACGGAACTGTACTTAAAATAGGGCAAATGGCTTTTTCCTCTTCCAGAATTGCGTCCATAGACAAACTATCTTCTTGTGAGAAGGGGATTAACAGGAATCAGATAAAAGATTTCATAGGAAAGGTTCTTATTTATTGCAGTTGACTATAAATCAAGAGGCCATAGATCTGTTGGACTTGTTTAGTTAGTGACACTGATGGATTTATAAAATAAGATGATAATGTATTACACCTTTGTTGCTACTAACACAGACAAACTGGATGAAGGACATCATGGATTTATGTTCTTTTTCCTGTCAGTTTTAGGTGGTAAGTAGTGTTTTAAGTTTCAGGAATCAGTAAATTCAAGCAAAATAATAGACATTGGGCTTCTGTAACTTACGATGTGAACTGTGAGGTTTGAGATGCACTGGAGTGCTCAGGGCTTAGCTAAAGCTTCATGGAAACCACCCGATGAGGGTTATAATCAGGGCTTTTGGATCTTACCTAGGTGGAAATTACCTATTGATTGGATCTGAATCAGAATTGCGTCCACATTAAGGTTAACTAATGAGTGAGTTAATTCAGGAGCTGCTCCACTGCTGTGGGGTATATCTGTGTGCACATGCATGTGTAAAGAAACAGTAATTGGTAGATTTTTAAAATAACGCTTTTCTTTTTCCTAAAAGGCCATCATATGCATATAGGGAATGAACCTTATCTTTGAACGATCACGAATTTGGCTGGCCGTCTTTTCTAAGAGAAATCTAAAGTAAACAATAGTAATGAAGGTTATTTGGACTAGAATTTTATGAACAGTTGAAAAAACCCTTCTCAGTAATCTCTGTTAAAATTATAGGAGTTTTCAGTGTGCTTTTTGGAAATCAATTGACTGAGTTTAAGAGAAGTTAACAGTTCTTCATTGTTGGACTGAAAATGAAGTAGTCTTAAACTAAGCTGAAGAGAATTTACATGATTTGTAGAAGATTTTATTTTACTTTATTTGAGTAATAAGTCCCTTTTTCTAAGAAGAATTCCTTTTTTCTTGCCATAACTGAGATAAGTACATTCTTCTAATGTGCAGTATGGGTGAGAAAGAACTGTGTAAGGTGCAAAGGCTCACAAAAATAGTGAATAATATTCCACTGGATGGTCTGATCATTTTTCAAATCATCCTTTGGGGTTATCAAAAAGGATAGAAGGACAGTGGCAGTATTTGGACTGTATGTGACGTGTTTTTCCATTTGCTAGGTCCTTTTCTGTTGTTAAAATCACTATCATTACTGTTGCCAAGTTTTACTTCCTTTTTTTATATTCACTTTCAAACACTGTGAGCCAGATTTACAAAAGGGTTTTCTCATTACAATACAGGTGAATGCCTTTAAAAATCCAGTTTATCACGTACATAGCTAAGGCATCAAGATTTTCAGGAGTTAGGCCATATTGGAAATCCAGTTAGACTTGGAGAAACACTTGTGAAATCTGAGAGTCTGCTTGTTAACTTAAAAATCTCATTTGCTCATTCTAATGCAAATAAGCATATAAGTAGCTTTCTGCAGATCCTACCATCAGAAATGACAGAGGATCATCAGAGGATCTGCCCTCCCCTGTTAGGCTGAAATATTTCATTTCAAGTAAGATGTAAAAAATGAGTAATGGATAAATACAATCAATAAAAATTGGCATTCAGGATTTAGATGTAATGAGTACCTAATTTGAAGTTATTTGACAAATAAAACTAACACTCAGTAGCAAATAAAACAACACTAATTAATTTCAGAATTAGCTTAATTATGAGGGATTTATGCATTGTAACTTTTCTTCCTTATCATGACATGAAATCCTTCCTAGATAAGAACTTGATCACGAACAATGTAGTTCATAATTTTGCTGTAA